CACCAAAGAAATCAGTGTCAACACCCGTCCTGAGCTGCGACGCAGGTACCGTGTCCTCAACTCTAATTTTTCAGTAGCGCGCGTAGGTGGACTCTGTGACTTCCTGAGGCCGTGGGAGGTCCCAGATGGACATGTTGTGACTTCTAATCATCGAATCAGGTACCAAAAATGTCTCACATCCTGGATGGGCCTCCCAGAAAGAAATTTCCCGGGCAAGGCAAAATTGTCACCAAACCTAGCCACGTGCTCCAAACAAGCGATAGATGAACCTGAGTGGGTGTCTAAACTACCAAATGTTACGAATGGGTCGTAGACCACCCCAAGTCATGTTGGTGAACACCCTACACTCGCGAAATCAAAAAATTGATGCCAATAGAGGATATTCATAGGGTCCAATTTTTTATTAAGAAACTTTTCTACTAAGAAAAAGTTAGAATATCAGAAATGTAAAGCCATAAAAGACTAAGAAAAATAAGAAAGAAACCAATGCATAGTCGTCCAAACTCCGAAGCAGATTACAATTTTTTAGAACATGTATAGTCATTTAGAGAATCAAAATTTGTTGATCCAACACCAGCTTTCATAACCATCACAAGTTCCCTTGAGATGAGATCTAAAAAGAGCATGCCGATGTTTCCTCCGTAGCCATCTTGTTTAGATCGACATCCAAATAACAGTTGAAGTTGCAGTGCTCCCCACATGACAACTTATCAACCCTTTCATTTCAGTAGGTTTTGAGTTCTCTACATAGCCATCATTTCTTTTGGAACCATATGAATCCTTATAACGTCCACCCCACCTCTCTTCAGCCTCCATTGAATAATCACAAGTAACTTCTCCTATGGGACATCCATCTCCTCATTGGAAATATTTCCCATTGTAACAAGGTAAAAGTGATGAAGAATTCTCAAGATCAAAGGGAAGGAGTGCAAAAACAAAGTTTTTAACTCACAGTGTTCCGCAAGGACAAACATGATGTGACTCTTAAATATTATATATATATATTTATATATATAAGAGTTTTTCATATTAAGACAAAATTCATTGATATAAAAGAGATGATACAAATGTTTTAACAAGTGGTTAAAAAGGACATACTCACAGGGATTACAACTGCACTTAATCCCCAAAAATATAGCAAAAAGAAAATAACTCCTAATCATGGTGGGTGTAGTCGGTGGATATACTACCTCCCCTTCCCCTTAATCTAGCGAGGGAATCCAACAACATACTGATATGTGGGCTTCCGCCAAAACTATGAGACATTCATCCTGAGAATTTCTGAGATCCATCATTTATTTTTTCTTCTTCCTAGATTTGTAACTTGCCAATCATCTGCCAAAGGTAGTCCCGTTTTAACAATAGGTGGATCTTCGATGGAGGTAAATTATTGATCTGGCTCAGCCTGCAGCACACAATGATCTTGACACTCCTCCAGAACTTGAGTACCCTCTTCTCTCACAATTGGTGGTTCCAAGATAATTTGGCTAGCATCCGCTACAACAAAATTCGTAGTATTTGTGATATGAGGAAGAGCTGTCTCGACAATAGTAGGTGGAAGCTGTTGATATGGTTGGTGAGGAGTAGCCTTATGATTCTCATTCAACATTTCTAGAAGATTAAAAATGTCTGCTATATTTTCCTCCACATGGATGATGTTGTTCGGACTTGTTGATCTCAAATGTGGGTGAAGCCTGAAGCATTTGACAAAGGTGTGCCCAAACAGTTTGCAATGATTGCAGTAGTAGGGTCTTTGTTCTGCAAGAATTGGTTGTCAATACCCATTGTGGGCAGTACCAAACCATATTTCGTCCACATTAAGGAGGGAGATATCCCTTTCAACAAGAATTCTTACAACCGAAGACCTAGTTAGATTGAAGGTGGGTGTGTCCAATTTCAAATGTCTCCCTAATGCAGCTCCAATAGAATAGAGGACTTGGTGATTAAAGTAATACAACTTTAGGCTAGGTAGTTTAAACCAGATTGGAATTATAGGCGGTTCTTGGCTAGGGTCAAATTCAGGAGACCACTTAAGTAGTTTCATATAAATTTCCATCTATTGTCATAAATTTTTTAGAAAATATTTTGGCACAGTCTTTCACTTTAGATAATTGTATCATCACATGTCTACCATCAAAGAAGTCAACCTTCCAAAGTCCCAATAGTTTGAGACCTTTAAAAACCTTTTGAACGATTTCCATTTTAGGATGTCTTGATTGGAACTTCCCAATGAGAGTGAGTTTGCACTTGTTAAACAGGTTGGAAACTTCAACATCAGAGAAGAATAGAGCTAGTTTGTCACTCTTCCAACACGTCTTCTTGATAAGATTGCAGCCCTCCTGACCTGTGAATGATTCATGGTAAACTTTAGGGAAAACCTGATCTGATCCCATAGAGCCAACCATATCAATAAAAGAAGTTTTCCCAAGGTTTAAAACTGAAGCAGTCGGTGATTGAGAAGGAGCAGTAGCCATGTAATAGGGAGTTGAACAACAACAAGCTACAGGGATTGAGTCTGGACTGCGAGCAGCTCACGTACGTGCTAGGAGGACGGGTGTGAGTGCAACAAAAGATGGAGCAGCATGAGACGGAGTCGCGGAATCATGACCGCAGAGACGCAACTGACAACGGAAGACGAAACAGAGGAACAAACGATGCGCGAACAGACGGTTCCATAAACATTATACAAAGAAGCCATAAACATCAGACTAAAAAGCCAACGCTGCACGACGCAGACAAAGCACGACGAAAAGGAGGATACACGACGAAGAGCAAATCGAAAAAGAGATACCAGGTTTCGCCATAATGGAGAAACCCTATCAAAGCGAAATCGGAACAAACTACACCATAAATAAATAAATAAATAAATAAATAAATATTATTTCAATTAACTTTAGCTTTGAATAACTTATCTTATCAATCCCTAAAACACTCACAAGTATCTTCATTCCCTTTGCGAGATCTACTTCTTCCTTGCTTGATCGACAACGTATGAGCTGGCTTTAATTCCTTTAACCCAACACCTCCCCTACGCGATGATCCTTTTAGGGCACGACCGAAGTCTTTTGCATGCAAGAAAGCTCCTTTGTTTTCTTCTTCGACTCGACTTGACACAGAAGTGCAAAATTGTTTTGCTCTTCTTCCCCGAGCATGAGGCTCGTTGCATCGTTTCTTCAGGTAACAAAGCCCGCAACACCCCTTCCCCTGCTCTCTGACTGCAATAATGAGAGATACCACCTCTCACATCAATTTATAGGGTGAGCCCCTTATTTGCTCTCCCTATATGTTTGGTTTCTATCTCCTCGTTTCTTCTCCCCTTCTACGATTGCCTGACTCGTCGCTTCTTCTCTCACTCTGTTCATCACTTTCAATTTCTCTCACGAGTAATAAAACATGACATTACAATTTTCCCTACTTATAAAATTTCATCCTTGAAATTTATGGATGGGCCTCAACTCAGTCAACATTAGCTATCATTGAAACTAAGAAAATTCATTAAGATGAAAATTAATCACAATAAAGGTAAAGATTTGATATAAGACGACTCAACTATACTTCAGATAACAATACAAAGTTACTGGAGCAAGGAGGTATGCTTGCAAATATGTCAAGCTCATCATACCTCATCATCTTTAACAGAAGTAGGTTCTTCAGACTCACTATGAGTAAGGGAATAAACTCGAGGTTTAACAAAGGTAGGAGCTGAAGCTATAAACTCTATTATTTTCTGTCCATCTGCAGTCTTCTGTGAAGAAGCTCCACCTGATTTCTAGTCTTCAGTGCCCTTCTTGTTAAGAGATGGAATTCATCTTGCTATATGACCGGACTGACGACACCAATATCAAGTGTTAGAGCCCATCAAGCATTCACTTTTACGTTTTCCATATTTGACACAAGCAACTACAATAGCTTGAGTCAAACCTCTGCTAACTCCGCCCAAATTACTCTTCAACTTCTTACCATTGGACCCCTCTGGTTGATCCACATGTTCTTTTTCTTCAACGTTCTTCCTTCTGTTCATCTCCTTACGTTTATGAATAAGTCGATAACCGATCTCCGCTGCTAATTCCATTAATATTAAATATTCATCAATCCCTAAAGGCAACAACGACTGTTTGATCAAAACCTTAAATCTAAAAGAAATTTGCAACACTTTTTATCTGTAGTAGTGATCAATTGTGGTGTATATATATACAGTGCAATGAATTATGCTTTGTATTACATAACTGTTTTCTCTTCTTGTGTCAACTTGATAAAACTGTTGCGTTCGGCTTCTCCATCCAACGCAAACGTCGTTAATGACACTCTTCTTTCATCCGGACATGCCATGCTATTCAATATCTTCTTTTTCTTCATTAGCCAATTCTTCGCTTCAATCATTCAATTCTCCTTAACAATGGTGGACACAAATATTGAAATATATTCAGGTACTTATCTACAGTGATCGTATCGCTTTCGATAAGCTGTGATCTGAATTTTTGTTTCAGCTGAGTCATCGTTGCCATCATAATAGGCTACACTTCTTCATTTTCTTTCAGGCCTTCTTATTCTATAATTGTAAGTGCATCACTATGCCCGAATTGATATTATTGTTAATTTGAGTTAACTTAATTTTTTTTATTATTAAATTTTTCTTATGATTATCTTATTGATTCTTCCATCAAGATTATTTAAATTAACTCTAAACATTTGATAACACTCTTATAACGACTCGCCCTGAGATGTAACACCAAACTTTTAAGGAATTAAATAAAGTTAGACACAATTGAAAAACACCCCAAAATTATAATCTCTCAGAATTTCTTCGAATTAAATTTATTGAATTGTATGTATGAAATAGTTCAAATAGATATAAAGAACTATATATAAATTGTAAATGGAATGAGAGTTATAAAATATTGAAAGTATTAATTTTATTAAATTAATAAATACTTAATAATTCCTAAGCCTTCTCCCTAATCCCAACACTAACCTAGTTGCGCCATTTTATTTCCTTTCGATCGGTCGAATAGGGCACCGAACTTCGCAATTTCCTGAGTCCTAATTTTTCTGCGTCTTTCTTTCTCCTATCTCTCTACCAGTTCATCTCACGCGCGGCAGAAGCAGAAGGAGACGCGACCCTTCGTATAGTGCAAGGGCGCGGGTAGTCGCGGCTTGCAGGGTAGCCGAGCGGCCACCTGAGTGCCGCAGCTCGCAATTCGAAGCTCCGGAGCGATTTCGGTAAGCACGAATCCCTCTCTTTCGTTGTTTTAGGCTTTCATTTCCTTACTCACCTTTCCTTTCTGACTTGTCTCAATTTTCACCCTTTTCTCTTCTCGGGTAGCCTTTCGAGGCACCGATTTTGTCCGGAAGTATCGTAATCATTTTGCAAGGTTTTAGCATGAGTTTAGCGAAGGAGAAGTTAAGTTGGGTTTCAAGCCTAATCTTTATGAACAGTTTATATTACATTTGGGGCAGTATGAAGACCCACTATGAAAGAATATGAAAATAGTTGCACTATATACTTAAACAAGTGACATTATTATGATATAACCTCTGTAAAATGAATGAACATGTTTATACTTATAATTTTATGTTTGTGATCTGTATGATACACTACAATTGATTTTTATATTATTTGTACCCCACTTTTTTATGTTATCTATTATGCCAGCATATTATGATTGTATGTCAACATGATTAATTTCATTTGAACATGCACGTCACTTTCTTTTCATGTTTAAAATTCTATTTTTATTCCTGATTATTTTGCTGAGTTAGTTTTGCTCACTTTACGTTGTCGTCTTCTAGGTAGGGGCAACGGGCACTGAGGAGAGTAGCCAGGTGACTTGTATAGTTTTTTGCTCCATAATTGGGTGCCTGTACAGTCTTTCTGGGTATGCATTTTTATTATTATGTATTTTACAACTCTGTATAATTTTCATGTTTTAGATGATTAATTTTCGTGGTTTCGAATATGTAATTGAAATGCAATGTATCACATGTGTTGCGGCGATCAAGTTAGACTAATTCATTACCCACTAATTTCAGATTATAAAAGTCACGATGAGTGTTGATGAAAAGTTAGATTAAAAAATAACAAGCATAACAAGCCAATGAATACTTATACTTCCAAACTACAATAATGCATGCCAATTAAACTTTTTAATAAATCAATATGAACTTTTAACATACTAATAAATGATTCTTACAGTATCAATAACATACCAATAACGTTTTATATATTATAACAGTCACAAGAGCACCGTCTAAAATTTATGTCAACTAAGATACATCAATATCAAAATTTTTTTCCATATACATGCACGGATAACGTTCTCCTGCTGGTACTATAAAGATGTGACTTCATTATATTCAGTCATGCATATACAATCAATTTATGCAGATCATATTATTCATAATTATATATCACTCAAGATGTAATATTATAATGCATTAAATATTTTATAATATAAAATTATAAACATTCACTTCAAAATGATCGATAAAATTTAATAATAAAAAAATAATTAGATTAATCAAATATAAATAACAATACATAAAATTATTTTAGAAGAGATGCCAAAATGATACTATAATTTAAGAATGGTACTCATCTTGGTGATGATTAATTTGTGTTTGAATTTGGATTAAAAATCTAATATAAATATGATATTTAATTACTTTATTATTTTAATAAATGATTAACTTTTATTAGTTAAGTATTAGTTTTGCTTTATATAATCCTTCTTAATATCTCTTTAATATATATATTTATATATATTGAAAGCTCAAAAAGACTAATATATTAACTAGAAAGAAAGATACATATATAATGTGTGGGAGGGCCTAAACATGGTACCCTGCCCACACAAAAAAACCATAAATGATTGTAAAACTAGAAACTACAGAAAGTACATTAGAAACTTAAAAAAAAAACCTAAGTGTCGAAATACAAAATATCAGGTGGCTAAAGAGCGATCCAATTTGATCTCGCCTCTTCCTCTAGTTATAGGGAAGGAGCAAGCTAATAAGTTGGTAAGATGATTGCCAATGCCAGTAATAACCAATGTATCATCCAATATGTTACCGAGCTAGAGTCGGCCTCCATTCTTCTTCTTCCTCCTGGAGTAGACCTGTCGTTTCTCATCCGAAGATTGACTCACCTGATCTTGGTCTAAAGTGTGCTGGAGATGTGCAGATTGTTGAATATTAGAAGCAATTACATGTTGTGCCGGCTGATCTGTTATTGAATCAAAGGAGCACTCTCGTGTGTCTGGACATGTAAGCGAGTATTCTTCAATAACAGTGGGTGATATAAACACAACTGAATCTATAACTGTAGTATGGTGTTCTTTGTCAGGAACTGCGGTGTTGGAAAGAGGATCGGGTTGCATCTTCTCAACAAGGATGATAGGTGACTGATCTTTAACGATATCCGGCTTTAGATGGGGATGCAAACGATAACAAATAGTAGAGTTGTGGCCAAACATACTGCAATGAGAGTAAAAAAGGTGGGTGTGGCTCTATTTCAACCTTTTGCCAATACCCGTTGCGAGTAGTTCCAATCCATATATCATCCGGAGCTGGTTGAATGATATCCCTCTCAACTAACACACAAGTCACAGAGGGTCTGGTGACAACAAACGTAGGATAGGACTATCAACCTTAGGACTATCAACCTTGAGAGACTTACCGTAAACAATTGCTAAGGAGTAGAGAATTTCCAAGTTGAACAGATGTAATTTTAACCCCGAAAACTTTTTTCAAACTGGAATGATAGGAGACTCCACTTTTGGATCAAAACCAATAGTCCACCTCAGAATTTTCATAAAAACGGTTGCCGATCTTGATAACTTCCGAGAAAAATGCGAGTGTAATCGACATCGTGAGACAACTGAACCAGTATGTGTCGACCGTCAAGTAAACCAATATTCCAACTTTCCAATAGCTTCATAGCATCAAATCTTTTTCGAATGATCTTAAGTTTTGGGTGACCATAAACAAAATTTTTCACTAGAGCAAAACACCAAGAGGATGCAAGAGTACTGATTTCAACCTCTGTTGAGAATAAGAGTATACTTTCCATTTTTTTTTTCCAGTTTTTTAATAAAGGTGTGATCGTCCCCACTTTCAAGAGCCTCGTGAAATGATTGCAGGACATTGCGGGATTTACCTATACAAAAATCAGTTTCTGAATCTAAAAGAGAAGCACGAGTAGGAATAAGAAAGTCGTCGGCAAGTGCAGTGGTATAAGAACGGAATGTCGATGCCATCTCCATTGCAGCTAGGCGAGCCGCTGGAGATAGACGAGCAAACTTCGGAGGCAGTACCGCTGCGAGCCGTTGAATGCGGGTGAGAGACGCGAGCGTCAAAAGCGTTTAATTGCGGGTGAGAGATGCGAGCCATCGACTGCGGGGTCGTCGAGTACGAGAGCTGTGAGCGTGGTCGAGGGCAGGTGAGACGTCGTCGAGTACAGAGACGAGCGTCATCAACATGAGGACGTTTGCGAGAGCGTGAAAGCGTTGTCTAGGGAGGCGACAAAGAGAAAGTGAGAAATCGAGGAATCACCGCCGGGACTTGCCATCGTGCGAAACCTTAGCGAAGCCCACTGCGGCTGTCGACGACGCCATTTATATATATATATATATATTATTTAAGTTTAGCTTTAAATAACTTACCTCGTCGATCCTTAAACCATACACAAACTTTTTCCTCCCTTTTGCAAGATACACGCCGTCCTCGCCTGTTCGACATTGTACGAGTTGGCTTTGACTCTCTCAACCCGACGCCTCCTCCTCCTTAGCGTGATGCTCCTTTTAGGGCACGATTGAAGCCTTACACATACAAGGAAGCTCCTCCATCTTCCTTTTTTGACTCGACACAACAACACAAAGCTGTGATCCTCTTCTTCCCTCAAGCACGAGGTCTGCTGCGTCGTCTCCTCGGGTAAGAAAGCATGCAAAACTCCTTCCACTGCTCTCTGACTTCACAAACTAGGGATCCTGCTTCTCACATCAATTTATACAACAAAATCGTCCGTCGACTTCTGATTCCCTCGTTTCCTATCCCTTTATGTTTGGTTTTTGTCTTCTCATTTCTTCTCCCCCTCTACGAGTGTTCGAGTCGTTACTTTATCTCCAACTATGTTCGACACTTTCAATTCTTCTCTCAGGTAATAAAACAAGACGTTACATCTATTCTCTTTTAAAAGTTGTATTTTGTTTTTATGTTGGTTTGTTGTATTCGTTATCTTGTTGTGAGTGATTAGTTTTCATTATTTATGTGTATCCAATTTTGGGTAGGGGTTAGAGCTATTATAAATGGAATTAATTGTAATTGAGAGAGAGTTTTTGATGAATGAAATTCTACTTGGGTTCTCTGTAATTTGGAGTAAATTTGGAGTATATTTTTTGTTGTTATAATGGAGCTTTCTACATTTTCAAGATTGATTCCGACTCATTGCTATTGTGGAGTTTTCTAACTTTTCCAAAATTAACTTTCCAAGTGTCTATTTGTGATAACTTTCTGCCTATTTTGTGTTTCAAGCCGCCATCACAGTTCTGTTCGGGGAACTTTTTACTTCTTGTTTATCAAAATTTTCTGCGGTGGGAAGCTCTTTTTTCAACTTGATCGGTTAAGTGTAGTGATTGTAAGGAGCCCTAGGCAAATTTATTGAAGAGAAAATAGTACATATGACAAATTTATTGAAGAGAAAATAGTACATATGACAAATTTATTGAAGAGAAAATAGTACATATGACAAATTTATTGAAGAGAAAATAGTACATATGACAAATTTATTGAAGAGAAAATAGTACAGATAGGTTGTATGAGTGGACCTAAATAGACACCCAACCCATACGGTACAACACACACAAAAGAAAAGAAAAGAAACTTAAAACCCAAAAGTAGATGGTGCATGTAAGATCAACCATGTCGACCCACTTTAGTTCTGCCTCTGCCTCTAATTCTCGGAAAGGAACCAACTAACAGATTGGTGAGATGTGTACCATTGCCCAAAGTAACCAGAGTATCATCCATAGATTCCTTAGCTCAAGTAGATCTCCATTCTTCTTCTTCCTCCTGGAAGTGTAGACTTGCCATTCCTCATCCGAAGATTGTTTTTCATTCGGATGAGGTGGTAGTGCTGCAGTAGAAAAATTGCCAACAGTTGTGCCCACAAGTGTATGTGAGTTAAGAGTTGTCGTCTCTACCCCTGATACTTCCTGAAGATGGAGAACTGCAAGGTTCTTCTGATTATCAGTCCGTGTAGGTAGGGGCCCTTCATTATTATTTTCAATAGGGTTTGAAAGTGTAGATTACTCCTCAGGCCATCCAACTTCTTATCGATCGCATAAACATTATTTTCAGGGGGAGGGCCACAAGAGCAATAGAATCAGACACCAAATCTTGTCCTGTTATAGTTTTCTCTCCAGGTGGAACAAATATATACTTAGATTCATCTTTATTCTTTTGATCTTTAGATTTCAAATTAGAATAAAACTTATGACATTTATCAAGGTTATACCCGAATATCTTACAATGAAAACAATAAGGAGGTCAATGCTCCATGATGATTTGTTGCTAATATTTATTATGCGTTGTGTCCAACTAGACTTCAATAACATCAGACAAAGTAATATCTCTTTCCAGAAGTGTTCTGGCCACAGAAGGTCTGGTAAGATTGAAGGTGGGTAGATCTAGCTTCATAGGGTCCCCAAGTATGACGCTAATAGAGTAAAGAACCTGATGATGAAAAAAGTGCAGTTTGGGACCAGGTATACTAAATCATGTCAGTACAGTAGGAGATTCATGATTGGGGTCAAAACCAAAAGACCACTTGAGTAGCTTCATTGGTTTGCCAGCAATGTTAAGATATTTTTTGGAGAAAATCCGAGTGTAGTCTTCAGGCACGGTTAACTGGATCAAAAGATGTCTCCATTCATGAACCCCACTTTCTACTTCCTGTTAGTTTGAGATCATCAAAATTTTTCTTGATAACTTCCATAGGTGGGTATCCCCACTGAAATTTCTCAATAAGAGCAAACTTGAATTTGTTAGTCAGGGTTGAAATTTTTGACTCAGAGAATAAAAATGCCGCCTTCTCACTTTTCCTATTTGTATTCTTAATAAAGGGGCAGACACCTGTACCGTCATGATTCTTCTTATAACTTGAGGGAAAAACAACGCAGTCTCCCCCTGAAGATTACCCACCACATTGACAAATGAGGTTTTATCGGATTCAACCGAAGAAGAAGGAAATTCCATCACAGCAAGGAGAAGCCCTGCAAGTCGGGCAAAGGGCCAAAAAGATAAGCCGAAGAGGTCGGAGCGAAGCTACACAAAAGACATGAAACCGCAATGGCCAATGTGCAGAGATGAAGTCGCAACTCGACAAACAAACCGTAGCTTGACGAGGCAGAGGCGAAACCGCAACAGGAAGACAAAACCACAACAATCCTATTAACCACAGCTCGACAGACACGAAACCGCAGCAGGAAGACACCAAAACCCTTCGTTGTTGGGCGCGAAAGAGAAGAGGACGATTCTGAAGGAGATTGACGAGCGCAAAGTCCTTCGTAGTTGTCGTCGAATACGAGAATTTCGTTGTCGAGCACGAGAGGGTGGATTGAAGACCGGGTGGGATTGAAGCCCGAATCAAACCAGGGTTTCGCCATCGGGCGAAACCCTAACAGAGCAGATCGCCACCAACGCCATATATATATATTTCCTTCTTTTCTTTTATTCTCTTTGTAGGGTTTAATTTTGTGGTGAGGTCATCCTCATATATATATATATATATATATATATATTATAACTGCTATCACAGATTTCTAAGAAGTTGTTTAGTCGACCACAGCTTTAGAACCATCTTTATGAAAAACTGCAGCTACCACAAAGAGACCCTAAGCTCATTTTTTATAATTTTAGATATATTTATTTTTGGTTAACCGCTGTGTCACTTGATATAGCTTAAATCCTGCCAAAGCTTTTATTTTGATGCATCTATCTCCTTTTGGATCTTTAATTGGGATATATTATGACTTCTCACGTGGGAATCATATTTAATTAGTCGTAGCTTTTTTATTTTCCTCTCTCTTCGTATGTAGATGTTTGCAGTGGATGAAGTAGTTATAAATTCTTGGAAAGGTTATTCACTAGTGGCTGCCATGGTGGCTTTTTCTGCTTGATGGAGGGTCTCATAAGTGTTAGTGTCATCAATAGAGGGATGGTTAGAGGAACTGTTGATGACTTGCTCTAAGGAGGGGTGGTTGGTGATTTTATAGAAAAATCCTGAGTGTAAAATTTCCCCTTGCTATAAATTCATATTTATATAACGTTTTCAGCTTGGTAGCGTGTTCAACTTCTATTCAACTAAGGCTTGAATAAGGAATATTGTTTGATGATGTGCCAATGCACCATAGCCTTCAAATGATCTCAAATTCTTTCCAAGGATCATAGTAAATCTTGGTTAACCTGGAGGGCTATAACGTTTGGTCAAGGATAGCATCTTATTAGAATGCCTTCTCAACAACTAAATTATTATAACATCCCAAGTTTGGTAATTTACATATTTTAATGTTGTCTCGATTGGTCAAGCATGTAGGCTAAGGAACTAAAATTTGTTTTCTTTCATTTGATCTGGAAGTCTTGGTGATTTATTGCCTTCAATGCTTGTTAAATAGTGCACTTCATCAAAAGCCAAATCCAGACAACTTAATTAATCAAACAGCCTTCCTATAGGGCGAGATCTCATGATCTACTGTTGGGCCAATTTCAATTGTATTGTTGTAAGTCCCATATGCGGGCATAATGAAAGTAAAGATTGTAAATCCTCCATAATTATTTTCTGTCGATAGAAAGCCAATAAACCTGTTAAGCCAAATCTTGAGCATTCTAATGGATGTAAGTCTCAACTAAAACATAGGTCAACTTATTTAGTGAAAAATGTACTGATTTAAATCAAAACCACCAATTAAAACCACAATCACAAATCAAATCCCTCATGTGTCGTGGGCATACTTTGACTTAAACCAAAACTTGTGCACAATTGATGCGCATTTCATGCCTCTCTTCTCCTGTCGATAATGTACAATACCTCTGAGCCACAAGAGGCCATATTTTCTGCCTTTGAGCTTTTTTGTGAAACTAGTATGACCAATGTTTTACCATTAAACATTAATATCGATCTCGAAAGCATATTTCACTACAAAATTCTCTGGTTCAACTTAGGATATGTGAGATGCGACGAAGAAACCCATGGTTGCTAATTTTTTATACTTTACAACCCTCTAATATTGTACATTGGTATATCCTAGATGATCGTACTATTGGATCTTGATCGGGTTTTTCTCTATTCTTGTAACCATTTCCCTTGAATTAAGTTCAAAATTAAAATTAAAATTTTAAATTTAACTCTATAAGTAGGCAATCCTATGAATTATTTTTAATTGAGAGCGCTCTTTTTCTTTTGAGAGGGGTGATTAACTATGGGGATGTGTGCCCATAGATAGTTCTGACTCTATACCTAAACAAACTCTGACACAACAATAGGGAAACTTTGTTTAAAATAAACTATTTTTCTATTAAGAAAATTACTCTGGAGCGCCGTTTACACTTTGAGGTGGTTCACAGAAAACGGGTTAACTTTATCAAGCAATCAGGTTTCTTCTCACAAAAATTAATGCAATTAATTGTTTACCCATTGCAAACTTTACATCCTTATAAAGTTTGTATGTCTTGAATTCTTCATAGTAAAATATTCTTTTCTATATATATATATATTAATTTATCAATCTGCCCCATGTATGGAAAGCATGAGTTGTTACACTAAATATATTTCATACTTATTTTTTAAACAGCCGTCTACCAATTATCATCTTCCTGGTAGATTTTACCAGCCTCTGTGTCATTTAGAGTCAATTACATACCAGAAACCTTTGAAATGCATTTGGTTACCTTACTCGATGTTTGAATTGGTTGCAGTTTTTATTGTTTCTATCTTCCAAATGGGGTCCGACGATTTTATTAAACTGGATTCACCTAGTAATTCTGACGATCAAGCTCATGGGAATGGTTGCCACGAACCAGAGACACAAGAAAGCAGTTTTTCTATTTTTAAGGAGAAGGTTGATGATGTTAATCATATTGAGACAGAAGGTTTTACTGATGGTAGCAATATTGAGGCACATATTATGAATGTTGAAGAGGAAGGCTGTCAGCTTGTACTCGACATGGACCTTGAAGACGATGATGTTTTGTCGAAGCGAGCAATTCTACAAGAAAATGTTCAGTTTAGTGATTCTTTTAGCACATTGGAAAGGGTGGATGTATCTGAATCTAAATTTTCTACTAATATTATTTCCACAAGTTCAGTCAGCCATACCACAATGACCAAGTTGGTGGTTGATGAAAGCCGTATCCTATTCTCACGAGTTTTTCAAATTTTATTCATTTGGAGTTATTCTTGAATAACTTCATTTACTTAACTTTATTCTTGCCAGGCTTGCTTTCAGGTGTGTAATGCCTGACCTGCAAACAGGTGGATGGAAGAAAGTAGTACACATGTTTTATTATATCGCATTCTTCGCCAATCATCTTGTTATGCTCATAGTCGTGGTGCTCTAACTAGCAATACTTTTCTGTTCTTCCATAATCCAGAGTGATAGCTGTAGCAGGTTTTAAAAGAGCCCGGACAACTTGTGATGATCAACATCCATCTGTACGTGTAGTTTATAACTGCTTGACAAGGTTGGGCTTAAAAAACAACCTTCTCTTTAAATAATTTACATTCGTAATATATCCTTATTCTCATTTATTGTAGGTTTTATGCATAAAGTCTCTGTAAACGTGTATTATTTGGCATGAATCTGTTAATTTCCATGCATGTTTATGCTGCATACTAAAATTTTTGTCTCACATGCTTGTGTATGTGCATACTGCGTATGGAAGTTCTTGATTGAGTTTATGTATTTGCTTGTATAACGTGCATATGTATTTGTCTGTATCTTGATATATTTATGGGTGCATGTCACGGAAATGAGAAATCTTTATCAGTGTAAATTTTGAATCCTCCATGTGGGAACTCTGAAATTTGGATGCATCCAGTGAATTATGTAATTAGCTTTCCAGCCTAGCAATATTTGGAATGCATGACTATATGTTTTTTTTCATTTTTTGGTAGCTGCAAATCTGGAATATCGAGATTTGATTAGGATTAATTGAAGGATTGAAGTCTTCCTTCTATTGCTTCATCCATGTGATACCAGATTATTGTAGTTGACCATAATTCAAGATATTATAGAGATGAAAAGTCCTTTTTCCTTCACATGTTATCAGAGTAGGCTTGGAACTACATTCAGGAACGATTCTCTCTTGCTGTTGATTATAGAGAGAACATTTATTCCTCCTGCTGTTTTCCACTTTATTTTCTTTTGATTCTGATCATCAAACTTAATCACCGGTGTTTTATAACTTTTTTTTCTGACTTCAGTTCAAAAGTTTTTTCTCATTTGCTGATCCTGATTTCTGCTTTCATTTTTTATCCTTATTCCAAAATTTTTCTTTGTCATGCTCTTAGGGCCTGTTTGGGACAATTGCAACTTTATGAAGAAGTAACTGTGAACCTGCTGAAAAATAAGTTGTTGTTCAAAAAGCTACGGTGGCTATTACCATTTTTTTTTTTTGAAAAAGTCAAACCATAACTTTTTAGTAGCCACCGCAGATAGTTAGGTCTTGTGGAAAATCAGAGCTTTTAGTTACAACTTTTTGAGAACACGGGTAAAATACAATTTTGCCAAACAGGAAAAATTGCGGTGCGATACAACACTGCCACTCCAAACGCCTCCTTAAGGGCCACGTGTCCAACCTTTGCTAAAATTTATCCTTTGTTTCTTGCTTTTCTCATCCATTACAATGTTGCTTGCATCTGAAAATCAGTTGGATAGTTATGGACTCACCAGAGAGCTTGTTTAGAATCCATAAACTGAGGAACTCAATAATCTTATTCCTCCTTATAGACCACAATGCTGACAATTTATGAACACGTTTCTATAAAGGAGAGGGAAGCAAAGGGTATGTTTAGGATTTATTTTTTTGTTTTAATTTTTAGAAACCGGTGAAACAATATATTAAAATAATTTTAGTAAGTTGTTTTTGTTTTTGAAAATAACTTGAGTTGTAAAAAATTAGAGAACACATTTAAGGTGTTTTGTATTTTTTCAAAATGGGTTGTTGGAATATAGGAAACATGTTTTGAACTAGGGCCAATTTTGAAACAAATAAAGTATTTGACACTAGAACGAATGATGAATAACAAAATTTTGAGGCAATGAATTTATACATTCTAAGGCAAATAAAAAGGAATATTATCTTAGGAATCAATTTTTTATTTCAATAATTTCATTCGAAGTATTGTAGTCATCCACTTATATGAATAATCATAATAATAAAATATATTAAATATAATGCATATAACATTATCAGATTTATTAAAACCAATAATTGCCATTATATATGTATATATATAATATTTTTGATGTGTAAAAATTGTAATAATAAATAACTAGTCAAGATTGAAACCAAACTTCAAAATTATTTATGATGAATAACGCATTTTTTTATTTTTATATATTTTTTTAGATTTTGAAAATCTTAAGTACATGATGGAATTCATTCCTTTTTTTTGATCTTAAGTAATAACATAAATAAAATGAAACAAATTGAAAGCAAATAAATTAAAATAAACATTAAAAATAGAAAATAAATGCTAGCTCAAATGAATCCTAAGTCATCTAATTAGAATTGGGTTAGGTTCATAAGATTCAAAATTCAATACTTAGATCAGGATAGCCTGGAAAATCAATATGCAAACTTATTCCGAGATGTAAGATGTTGCCTTGATCTATCAACAAACAAAGCAATGTATCCACTCTAGTATGATACTATTAATTTTGTGAATAGTTTATGATTTGAACTAGATCACTATCAAAATGTCATGATGAAGTGCAATGATGATGCTATGGTGCTTGAGAAGTTTTTAGAAAGGGCGAGAACCTTTGAAATCATAGTCAATCTCAATGCTGAATTTGATTTGAGTACAAGCATCAGGAAAGAGACACTATTGTCTCTTATGGAACTCTTACTTTAATTCATGTTGAGGAGCGGAGAAATGTGACGCTTGACTCTCAAATTGTAGAAGGCTCTATCAATTTCGACAAAACTAAAAGATGATGAAGGTAAAGAAAAAATTGATACAAAACATTAAACATATGAACACCAAATTACTAAAATGAGGCTTGTGTACTTAGTGCAAAAAGATACATCATATTAGGGAGAAATGCTTTAAATTTCATGATAAAGCTAATGCTAAGACCCACTAGGCGGATAACTTAAGTAGGCTGAAATTATTAAACTTAGAGAAATCATTAACTATTTTATCATATTTTTTGTGTCATGCTTATCAGTTAAAGTTGGCTTTCCTATCAGTTAAATTTGGTTAACCTATTATCTTATGCTTTTAGTACTTTAGATTCTTTCTTTAGCAACTTCCAAACCATAGATTTAGGAATTACTAATCTTATGATGCATGTTCCAATTAGATTTATATTTTATACCAATTCTTTGGTAATAGAAAAATCATAATTGTGGATGGTTCATCTATGGCTATTGCTAGCCAATGAACAAAAATTCTTCATCCATCTTTTCCTATAAAGAATTATTTATATTTATCAAATGCATCCTCTGATCCAAAATAGCCTTCTTTTTTACATATAGTTTCTTTAGGATAAGGTTGCGGTTATGGGTAGGATGATTGGATATGCTGAGGAGAAATACAGGCTTTGATTATTTTGTTTGACTTGTATTGTATCTAGTTTTCATGTTCAATTGGAATCTATTATAATCTGATGTAAAAAAATATCTTGTTGCATGAAGAATTAGAGGAAAAGGTGTTCATGGTACCCCCTCAGCGATTTAACAAAATTCTTAGTAGCTCTAAAATTTGTAGGTTGAAGAAAGCAATATACGGATTAAAGGGTCAGCAGCATTGGTAGGGCACTTCATTTAATTCCTCTGCATGTTAATGTTCTTCTTAACATTTTTGATTTGAAGCAACAGAAATGCAAAATAAAATTTTGAGGGTTTTGAAATACCCAAAAACCTGTATTTTTTTTTGCATTTAAAGATTGCTTGAATTCCACAATTTTAAACATCTACATTCCATCTGCTTATGATTCTTGACCGTAACTTTTTGCTTTCGCCCGCCCTCGCTTATTCTCGTTATCTACACCCTCTCTTATCATCGTCACTAGCCCTCATCCTTATTTAACTGCATTGAGATGTATTATAACAATGACAAAAAAAAAAATTCAATGTATTTGATCTGCATCTAACCAAACAGAAAGCCAATCTTGTTACTTCTCATTTTTAAAATAGCTGCATTCTAATTAGTTTTCATTTACGAAATCCATGCATTTTAAAAGCATTTTAACCATATAGCCGCTAAAGCAATCTTTTAGAGCATTATTTGGTAGATTCTTAGAAAATAATGTACCTATGGGCACAAGCAAGTCAAATTATCACTCTCTTTGTAGAGCATTTGTTGATAGAGGAATTGCTCTTATTAGTATACATGGATGAGTCATTTAATTACAAAGTTACATAATTGAGAAAGTATCTCTTAGGTGAAGTTTTGCTAATGGGTTTGAGATCAATGAAATTGGAAGGCTCGAGTATTTTAAATGGATGAAAGTGGATTGCTCTAAGGAATGTACATTTATTATCAACAAAAAAATTGTTGCAGTTCTTGAAAGAATTATGTATTGTTGGTAGCAGGGTAGTTGGAATGCCTGTTGAACTAGATCATAAATTGGATGAGAAAAATAATGATATGCAATAGAAAGAGGAATGTACCAACAATTGGTTGGAAAATTAATTTAGTCATCCCCGATAAGGTTCAATGAAGCCACAAAGAGATTGTAAAGTATCAATACTAATGTATTTCAATTCTCAAACGACAACCAAAAGATAAGAACAACCCTCAGTCCAAAGAAAATACGGTACATGAACAGCCGAAAGCAATATTCAGCACAAGAGTAGCAATAATTAAATTACACTTTTTTTGCAGATAATGTGTAATGATTCATCGTTCTCAGTTTCACTTCCAACACTAGTAGGTGGTGTTGGAGATGCTTTGATCCCATTTCTTGCCCGTGAAAATGTAGCCAGATCCCGTGGAATCCACTCGGTTACAGATGACAGCGATGGTAATTTGAAATTCAGGCAACGAATGTGCCTCCAGCACCTTGCAATCTAAGAAACAATAAGACAACAGTTAAATGCTCAAAGGAAGATTAATTAAAGAAGTTATGCACATTTAAAGAACAGAGAATCTGATGTGTGAATTAATTCTTGTATCAAGAATCAGGGTTTCTTTTGTGGCTGATTTCAAGTTGATTTAAGGCCATGTAGCCTGAATTAAATTGCCGCCAAAGTTCCCTGCATTGGACAGTGACAAGAAACTAGTTTCTTGTATAAACTGTAATGAGAATTTGGTCTCGTGGATATAATTGGCTATTGATCACGCTCTCTCTGTTATTCCCTGGTAATTTTCCACCTAAACTCAGCTACAGTCAGCCTGCAGCGTAACCTGAATATCTGGATTCAGTGGAGAACAGTCTCCTAGGAACCTGGCTTGTACAAATGGCCCTCATTTGAAGACAGGACTTCAATCATTGTCAACTACCATAGCC